GTGTACTTTAAAAAAAAATCTTAGTGGGGAAAAAACAGGAAACTAAAAATATAAGAGAACGTTCTTAACTGGATAAAGGTTTTCTATTTCAAACCTACGACAATAGTCAGACTTCAGAGTGACACATAGAAGCAGCCCCATTAAATTCAGACATAAAATAAGGATATGTGTCATTTATGCTAATATTCAAACTGTATGTATAAATATTAGTATAAATATTAGAAATGATATAATGATCACTTTCACAAATGTTACAATTATCTACCTAGAAAATCCAAAAGAATCAACTGAAAAATGTTAGAACTGTATTTTTATTTTATTAGAATAATTTTTATTTATTACAAGATGTTTATCAAGGCAGTCAAATAAATACAGGATTCGCACATAGAAATCAATAGCTTTTTTATGCATCAGGCAAAACCAACCTAAAAATATAACCTAAAACACATACACTCAAAATAGGCACATTTCAAAGTATACAGGAATAAACATAGAAAAGAAACATACACGTATGTGAAGAAAATTATAAAACTACTGAAAAACATAAAATAAGATTTGAATAAATGGGTATAAATATAAATAAATGGTATAAAGATGTCAATTCTCCTATAAATTAGTATCTAACTTCAGGGATATCCCTATCAAATTGCCAGTGGATTTACTTGACAAGTTTATTCTAAAATTCACCTATAGGAAAAATATTTAAATAGAAACAAGAAAATTTTAGTATAGAATGATGGTGATGCTGCTTAGTTTAAAAAAGGGTAATATGAATGGCCACCAAGTGGGAAAAGGTGATCTTCACTAATAATCAGAGAAATACAAAACAAGAAAATCATAAGATACCACTTTTTTGTCCTTAAATCTAAAAGATAATTTGAGCCGGGGGGCCAGGAGGTGGTGAAGACCCAGAAACTCAAAGATACTGTTGGTAGTGGTTTAATTGGTCCAGTCTTTTTCAAAGATAATTTGGCAGCATTTATTAAAAGTCTATGCATACTGTCCAGTCCAGCATCAACAAGGTAAGTTTCAGAGATTCTCCAGAGTGCAGGTGAACGTGCACCCAAAAGGTTGATCATGCATGTTCATTCAGCACCAGCTCTGACTGCCAAAGATTAGAAACAATTCAAATGCTCATTAATAAGATAGTTTTTTTTTAAATATGGTACATCCATATTAAGGAATACAGTGTAGTCGTTTAAAAAACAAACCAATCTATTCACACTGATACTGCAAGAACTCCAAGATACATTATGTTCTTCAAGAATATTACACTACGTACTGTGTAACATAATGTACGTTCAAAAATACTATGTAGTTATGCCCATGTATATGATTGTAAATGCACAGAGTAAAAGCAAATGGTTAGCTTACTTCTGGGGACAGGACAAGGATTAGAGATGTGCTGAAATCAAAGGGGACTCCTGCTTCCTCTGTTTTGTTTGAAATTTCAAAATGAAAATGTAGGCATAGATTAATTATATAATTTCTTAGCTCTCCCGAAAGTTAATGTGGCAATTAAAAATTTTATTTAAACACATTTTCATTTAAAACACATCCATTTAAAATGTGTGTGTCTTCACACATCTTTGTTTCATAAAGGAGTTGAATATTTTTCAACTTTATTAAAATGATAAAAATATTTTAAAGGTGAAGAGTGGTAACATTATCTGTTGCCTTTCTGGTTTCTCAATATAAGGACTTTAATCTCTATGTTGTCACTGCAAGAAAACTTCACCTCAGCGTTAAGGCACATGTGGTCTATAATCTCTAATTTTAAACAAATCTTATGTCAAATCTGATGTAGTGCTGGATCGGAAAACACATACTTTTAGAATGTCCGATGAAATAACAATATTGCAAAACTCATCAAGAATCTTCTGGCAAGATTAGGGCTCCAGTGGAGAATTGGCCTTTTTGTTCATCATGAACCTTACTTTTGGATTCTTTTTCAAAAACTCCATATAACTTTGCTGGGGAATAAATTTAAAAGTGTTCCATATCTCATTATAACGTCTTGGAAAGCGTCTGAAAATTGGGACCACCACAGCTTCCCGATAGACATAGGATATCTGGTTATTTGAAAAGCCATCGAGACAAGATGGAACATAGTCACATGCCCAAAGATTGAAATTTCTTGAAATGTGTTGCCCTTTTTCTGGGGAGACCTTCTTACGTCCCAGGCCCTGGAGAAGGATCACAAGAAGATTAGGGGAAAAATGTTCAAGGTTACACAGTCCAGAGGTCTTTAGCAAAACCAGCTCTGTGACATCCTATGTTTAAATGCACAGTATGACCACTCTTTACCAGAGGTACCCTTTACCAACCTGTTGAGGGCTGTAAATTGACACCCACAACATCCTGGTTCTCACAGCCTTCCACTCCACACCAAGGGCATTGGACTTCTAGAGACATGAAGGGCAGAACCAGAGAGATCCCAGCCTAGACTCTTAGAGACCCCAAGTAGGTTCTTTGCAACCAAGTGGTTCCTCAGCGTATCTGTCCCACACCACATCCCCAGTGCCCTATGGGATACATGGTTCTTACTCCGAGAGGTCCAAAGATTCTTTCTCATCTTAGAGCACTCCCAATGAAGGGAGCAGCACCTTTGGATCTCATCCCACAGGAAACATAAAATGAAGTAGCAGAAATGAAACACCCCAAAATTATTATAACAACATGAATGTGTTAAATTCTCATATAAACAATGACTATTAGATTTTTTTAGAAATTGTGTTCTATTCTAATAATAATAAAAAACAAATCCAAAACAAAATGACTACAAAGTATCAAGTCAAAGGAATGGAACATGATATAAGGGGGAAATGTTAACAAAAAAAAGTAATAGTGGCAAAACTAATATCACAATGTAGAATCCATGGCTAGAAGTATTAATGCATATGAAGAGGGCTACTTCATATCGATAAGTAGCAAAGGCCATCAAGAAAATAAAAGTCATGAATTTTTGTGCAGAAAGGTGTGGTATTAAACTATATCAGGCAGAAAAAAAATTATAGAAACTCAAGAATAATCTTAGGAGGAGAAATTGGCAGCTAAGGACAAATATTAAGAAAAGGATGTGAAGGATTTAAGTAACGTAATTAACAGTCCTGAATTAATAAATATAAAGAACTTTGTAACCAACGGGTGGGGAATACATATTCTTTGTAAACACCCATGAAATTTTAATTTTATATAATTCTGTATTATTTGAAATTTTTATAGGACACATATTACTTTGGCAATTTAGAAAAACATTTTAAACATTCTATTTAGAGAAGCAGGCAGAGTGGACATTCTGCTTCTTTATTCAACACTCTGCAGAGGCCAAATTTTTTTTGGTTAAACCATTTAAATTTAGCCTAGATACTGTCTCCTAGAAGAAAAGGTAACTTTAGCAAATTGTTTAACTTTGTCAGCTGTCAGTTTCCCCATCTCCAAATTGGGGATGACAAGAGTAATTGACCAGTAGGATTGTGGTGAGGATTAAATGGGATAATATGAGGTGCTAGCATACAGCAAATGCTTAATAAATGGTGGCTATTATTAACATTATCACTGTCATCGTTGACTTTCAGGTTTGGTAAAGATTCTCAGGGGTCACCTGATACAACCTTCTACCTAAAATACATTAATCCTGTGCTGTCCAGTTTGATGGTCCCTAGCCACATGGGCTATTGAACACTTAAAATGTGCATCTTCCAAACTGAGATGTACCATGAGTGTAAAATACAAACTGGATTTTAAACACTTAGTTTGGGGAATGTAAAATATCTTCTTTTAATAACTTCTGATTGATTACAGGTAGAATTGATACTTTGGGGAATTACTGGATTAAATAAAATATATTAAAATTAATTTTACCAGTTTCTTATTTTTACTAATGTGGCCATCAGGAAATTTAGAATTACATATAATCTATCTTGCAGTCTATTTCCATTGCACAGTTCTGTGCTCACCACCACTAACACCTGCTCCAATGATGGGGGAATCACCAGGTCTAGCGAAAAGACTATTACAGTTATTCGGAAGTCCTTCTTTATAACGTGTAAGTTCCCCATCCTTTGGACTCCTCCTTGTGGGTCCTGGCTCTGCCATCCAGAGACACACACAGGCAATCCCTTCTTCCCATGACAGATCTTCCCAAGAAGGCTCACAAATGAGACCGTTTATGGGAAGGTACTTTGAGAAGCGTGACGTGCACGAAAACATACGCCAGAGGAAGACGGGTGGGTGCAGACTTTGAAAGCTGCGTGGGACTTTGAGAACGTCATGCTCCCCCCACCCCCCTGGCAACCTCCTGTGAGGCTTTAATTTTGACCTTGTTCCAATTTTGAGGTCAGTCTTCTCTCTTCAGCATGTCAGAGAAAACCAAGAACCCTGACGTCCCTCTTCATTTCATTAGCAAGTTGGAGAGAAATACTCACAGAGTCAAAATAGTATCCAGAGTTCTGAAAGCTGTGCCGATTGTCATGCACGGAGAAGGGGAAGCTGTTACCCACTGCTTGCTGGAAAAGAGTGAGGAGAGAGAGAAAGAGACACACATCAGAACTGCAGTGTGTTTCCAGAACCCGCCTACAGTGGCATGGAGGAGGCGAAGGGACCTCCCAGGAAGAATGAAACCCGTTGGCCTTTGCTGGAGCAAACAGCATGGGGGTGAGGTCGCAGGCTTGCCCGTCAGCTCAACGCTTTGAAACTCAGCCTTACGGCCAACTTGCTGAAAATCATAAAAATTCTCTTTAAAGCACCTTATCGGAGGCAAGGCAAGGAAAGCTTATAGGCATGGAATTCAAAGCTGGAGAGGAAATTCGAGGCCATCTTCTTCATCCTGTAAGGCTCCTGGAAGACCAGAGCACTGGCCCAGGGGGCCCAAGTGTGAAATCAATACCTCCTTCCCCCTCAGGCACTTCATGCCCCAAAAGTTGCTCATGAACTGTCCAGGAAGGTAGAATGTGCGTGTTAAGAACTTTGTCCATAGACTGGGCCAGGTGGAGAGGGGTGTAGCTCAGTGGTAGAGCATGTGCTTAGCATGCACAAGGTCCTGGGTTCAGTCCCCAGTACCTCCACTGAATAAATAAATAAATAAAACCCCTAATCACCCCCCTCAAATTTAAAAATAAAAAGGAATTTTAAAAAGAAAGAGAGCTTTGCTCATAGAGGAGCCTTAATTTTATTGTCCGGACCAGGATGCAGTTTCCTCTAGAGAGTATTTGGGGTGTCATAGTGACCAGTTATGAAGTGGACATGCCACCAGAATTTAGGAATCCAGGGAGGGTAAGTGAGCAGTTCCCTCTAAGGAAGAGCTGTCTGGCCAGAAGTGCCAGCAGTCCCACCCCGTGAGGAGCCACGGGGCATGTGGCTGTGGCCAGCGCTCTGGGCTCACCTTCTCCCGGACTTTGTAGATTGGCGGTAGCTTCCCCTCCACTTGCCGAGACAAACGTGGATTCTGGGGCTCTTTTAACATAGTACATGTGATAGATTCCGGTGTCTTTTGCATGAGTCCAATGTGAGGGAACTGGAAAACAGCACACGACCTGATTAAAACCAGACACATCTGAATCTCCAAGCCAAGTATCAGGGCTTCCTCTGTAAAGTGATTAAAATGCAATTTGGGTGTTTCTGGCATGCAATGGAAATGGCATAATTTTTGTAATTTTCAAGTGTTCTTTCCAAGACAAAAAATATTGTAATGGCCCAAGGCCATCGGTGCTGGTTGTTTCAAGTTACGGGGGCCACCCTGCTGCTTGGAGCCTGGAAATGTTCCCTCTGTCTCTGCGGAGGGTGTGGCCCTGTGGGAGTGAGCTGCTGTGCTCTGAGGAGTCAGAAATGTGTTACTTGAGATCCTCCTTCTGGTCAGGGAGCTCCCCACACTTGGGGTCAAGGATTCAACCCATGTTCAAAGGGATGAGCCAACCTCCTGCAGGTATGAGGTGGACCTCAGGACACAGGGAAGGCGAGGAGAGAAGGGTCACAGTGAGTCTCCACTGAGAATGCAGAATGGTAGGGGGTGGGAAGGTCACTGGGGTGCCTGGGGGTGGGCTGGGGGGTGGGCTTTAGCATCTCCCTATGAACAGAAGGAAACAGGACTGGGCCGAGGGAGGCAGTCCCAGCAAAGGCCTCGACCAACCCCACAGCGAGCCCTAGACATGGGGTGTGCTCTCAGAGTTGTCCTGAGCTGGAGGGAAAGGACTGGTCCTCTGTATGCCTTCATCTATCAGTCACTGGGTAGAAGAGGAAGGTGGGAGGCCCAGGAAGAGGGGGTGTCCTTGCAGAGTCAGCTCTTTCCAGCCAGGGAATACCCAGGACTGGACCTCCCAGGCCACACTTTCGGCAGCTGTGGGAAGGACTCCACTCCCGAAGGGGCATGTGGACGGCCTTGGTGGCCACTGTAGCTCAGCCCCCAATTTTATTTCAATGGCACCTCTTAAAAGCCACCCCAAAAAAGTAGGCTTTGAAGCAGGGATCCCTAGAAGAGGGATATGAATGGGAACTAAAATACACACAGAAGGCAAGACCCCATCACGTGGTGAAAATTCCTGCAGGAGGAGGAAGGATAATGGGGGTGGAGGGGTCACAGACAGCAGATTCAAAGGCCCTGAGTCCAATTCTAGCTCTCTCTCCTACAAGGTGGACCTTCTGCAAGAGACTTAATTTTTCCAGGCCCCAGTTTCTTTATCTGCAAAATGGGAATAATAATACCTACCTGATAGGGTAGATGTGATTAAAAGCAGAAGCACATGCACCCAGAGAGTGTTCGGTAGCTGTTAGCAGGTTCATGGTTGCTCACAGCTGTCCCCTCCCTTGTCCCTAAACCCACTGCCATCACCCCCAGGCTAGACTTCTTTCCTCGCCTTCGACATTATTAATGATATTGGCCAACATTGCTGTTCTCTCCTATTCCTTCTCAAGTCATAATATAACTGTATATCCAGGTGGCTTTTGTTTAATTTATGCACAAGACTATGTTTCTGTATGCTATTTACAGCAAAAGGTGGAGAGATGATGTCATCGACGTGGTGTACTTGGTGGGGCATTGCCGGCAGAGCAAAGAGAAGCAATGGACTAGATGACACTTAGCAACGGAGTGATCCTTTAAACGCCATGCTGAGAGGAAAGAAGAAACAGAATGAGATCTGTAATCCAACCCCATTTATGCAAATAAGTGACCCCCACACGCAAGACAACAATGCGTAATTCACCAGAACGCATCTGAGTCAGAGAACGCTCATTAAACACATGCGAACGGTGGCCAGTGGGGTGAGGAGAGTAGGAACGGAACAGCCACGCCAGCCAACACGCTGTCGTGCGGCCGGGCTCCTCCACGGAGCAGCAGGAACCTGGCGACAGAGACACCTCGGAGGAAGGCATCAGGGAAGGAGGAAGACCTTTTTTCCATTCGTTTAAATGATTTTTAAACCAAGGGCATCTATTCCGTTGTCTTGTTTTCCACAACGGAAATAACTGTATTTGTTTCTGATCAGAGTTGTAATACCTACTCATGGTTTAAAATAGTTCAAACAAGAAAGAAAAACATAAGAAAGGAAAGAAAATGCCCACAGAATCCCACCACTCTTTCCCCTTAACTCTTTGTAATGCGCACCTATGCGACCGCACACTCGTATGTGTGCAAAATTTTGCATAATTGGATCATATTGTAAATGTGATTTATGATAAGTTATGAGTATCTTTTTATCTCACAGTAACTTTCAGTTACTCCCTCCTCCCCCTTCTTGACACCCCCACTGCCACCCCAGGTAACAATAAGAACAAGTGAGCTCTCCCATGATCCTTTACAAACACCTGTACCTGCAGCGGGGATTTATACGGCTTTACAAAAACTGGACCATAGGCTCCATAGCATTCTGCACCTTGCTTTTCTTACTTTACAATTGACCCTAGAAAATTTTCAAAGTCAACCCGTACATTCCTAATTCATCCTGTATTATATTTTTAAACATTTTAAAACAATTTTCAAGTAAGTATAAATAACCCAAAGGGCCTCCAGACTCAGAACCTTCCCCTTTTTCCTTCCTCTAATCTGATTTTCCAAGCTGGAAAATCAGGCCGGGGGTGGGGAGTTGTTCTAACATCAGGATGGATCCCTCTCACCAACTAAAAGACAACGGGCTTGAGTTCATTTGTATTCTGCAAGTCTGTGGACTAAATCACTGTTAAAAAATGGCTCCAGCATTTTAATTTCACTCTTTTAAAATATATATTTAATGGCTATAACATGATAGCTGTGAAATAAACCCTTCTGTTAGATATTGTAACCGTGAAATATAGCTTTTTAACTAGTTGGCGGTGAAATTTTTGCTGCCTTCAATCACTGAATGACTGAAATATTAAATAGGAAGGTGAGATTGTGTGCAGAGAGCCTTTCCTCCCTGGCAACAGCCAGATTACAACCAGCAAGGTCAACTGCAAAATGACTGTCACCTTCAATGTGGCAATTACTGTCTCCCAAATGGGCTGCTGCTGACGCAAAGCCAACAATTTCTTTAATTTTCCCAACTCATCTACCAGTGACTTTGGGAAACTTCATGTCAGCACGATTCTTTTTATGCTCTTAGGAGCTGGCAGCCAAAAGGACCCACAGCAGAGGCTCGAGTTGGACTTTGGAGAGATAAAACCTCTCTGCTTAAACGGGACCCTGGTACATTCCTAAGGTCCCAATAGGAGATGCAGTGTCCTTTCTCGATTTCTTTCTTATAACTCAACCCCGACTTTGTCTGGGGTGGCCATGTGGCTGGTTAAAAAACAACCCCCCAAACTTCCTTTGGGCTCACATGACCCACTGAGATGAAAGCAGAAGTCTGTGGGTGGGGCTCCTGGGAAAGCTGTTGTTTTTCCCAGAAAAAGGGGCAGACTTAGCTGACAGGGGCCTTCTGGCCTTCTGGCCTTTGACCTTCCCCTCATTTAGCTGCCTGAGTTGAGCCCTGCACTAAGGATGACAGAACAGAAGGCTGGAAAGAACCTGGGCCTCTGATGATGCCCTAGAGCGTCTGTACCAGCCCTGAAATGCCTCCTTCTGGACTGATTGTCACTTGAGACACACTGACCCCTGTCTGGTTAAGGCACTGCAGCCAGCTTTCCATAATATCCAGTCAAACACAATCCTAACTGATATCACAGGTGATAAAAAGAGGGGAAGCTACTTAGCCCTAGAAGCTTATGCTTGTCTCTTCCTGACCAATTAGTGTTACGTAGTTTACACTATTTTCCATTTTACTTTGGCTGCCGGGAAACTCAGAGTCAAATTTGATGTCCAGATAGCCACTGTGTAGGCCAGACGGCCTGTATAGCTACGTCATATATTTTCCCAGTCTCAGCCTCTTATTCTAAAGTATATTTAAACTGGTTCTGACTTTTTATCTTTTTATACTTTTTTACTTTTGTGAATATCTTCCATACATTACTTTAAATCTTTATGGAATGGAGCAGGGTATACAAGAAGAGGACGTCAGTGTAAATATATGTCCCTTGGAATCTGCAGGGGATTGATTCCAGGCCCCCCATCCCACCTTGCAGGTACCAAAATACATGGATGCTCTGGTTCCTTAGTTGCCCTTCGGCATCTGTAGGTTCTGCAAGGTGGACACATATACGTATACTATACATTATCTGTGTAATAGTTAGCAAGTATTGAGTGGTTACTATGTTTCCATGCATTATGCTAAGCACATTATGCCATGTCCCCACCATGGCCCTCTAACCATGGCCCTCTATATTACACTCTCATCTAACAGATGATGAAACCAAGATTTAGAAAGACTGAGCTGCTTAGCCAAGGTCATGTCCAGGTGGGTACAGTCAGGTTTTTAAAGTCTTCAGACTCAAATTTTCCAAGTTGTTTTTCCATTTTTCTTTTTCTTTTCAAACAAACAACAACAAAAACATTTTTTAATCTTTCTATGTATTGCTTTCCTTAAAAAGATTAGCACCACAGTTTTCTTTGACATAATCAGTAAATTAAAAAAGGAAAGATACCAGCCCCATGGAGTTCCTATTCGAGGAGGGGGAGACAAACACACATGAAATAATAAATTACAGAGTATGTCAGAAGATAGATGTCACAGAAAAAAAGACAAAGTAGAGCACACGGCAATGACTGCTGAGTGGACATTCACAAGGTGTCAGTGTGCTGAGCGTTTTATACAGATTTATTTCATGTAATCCTCGCTAAAGTACCATGAGATTCCCATTTCACAGATGAAGGAACTGAGGCCGGGTGAAGTGATCTGTCAGATGTCACACTATGATACGTAGCAGAAGTGGGATGTGGACTCAGCTCTGTGCCCTGGCCACACCCACGTGGCCTGAGAAGGGCAGCAGGTGGGGTATCTTTCTTACCCATCTTCCATCCTTGTCTAACGGTGGGTTGAAGCGTCTCCCTTTGGCCATTTTCGGCAGGTAGCTGAAGGCGGCTGAGGTTGGCTCCCTTACCTCTCTGTGGCCTCATCAGCTCGAGCTCTGGGAAGCCAGCCCTCCTTGTTCCTGATCCTTCATTCTCAGCCTCTCCCTGGAAGGGAAGTCCGGGAGTGGTCCCTGTTGTCATAGAATCAGAGCCCAGCCATCACAATGGGAGAGGAGCGCGGGTCTTCCAAGCCCCCTGAAGGCTTCTTGGAGCCACCGTGCCTCAGTGTATGAGCCATCGGGTCCCAGCTGAGGATGTCCCATCAAAAGGTCAGACGGGTGTGGACAAGACAGTCTTGAGATAATGGCAAGCTTCCTATATCCTCTAAGTCCTTGAACTGATGGTTTTTGACTTGAATGTCCCCGTGGTGACCATGAGGGTTTCAGAGAAGTAAGCTGAGTCTGCCTTGCATGAAGCAGTGGCTCGGCACCAGGCCAGGACCCCGGCCTCCCTACGTGCTCCTTTCACGGCTGCCTCCGTGTCCCGGCTCAGACTCCCCCACTGTGCGCCCACCTCCCTGCATACCCCCGAGGCCACGACAAAGCAATCATCATGAGTAATTCTTAAATGCCAGGTGCTGTGCTAAACACTTACACGTGTTTTTATTTTTTCTCCATGACAACCTTTGGTGTCTGCAAATGAGGAAACAGGGTCATGTACCCAGTGGCAGGGACAGCTCCAGAGCTCGCCAGCCTTTCCGAGGGCCCCCTGGCCTCCCCCAAGCTGCAGAGGTGGCTCCCGAAAGCCGGCCTTTCTCTCTGGGACTGGACACTCAAGTCCTGCCTCACTGCTCCGCAGTAACGCGGCTTCTGCTTCTGTCTTTTTTCTCCTTCCTTTCATGCTGTATCTTGACGATCATCTTGGCGACTCCTGGCGAGAATAAGTAAACAGCCACAGGGGAATCTGTCCAGCTCTCTTTTGCTAAGAAATTGTGTCCTCGTGTCCTTCCCCTAATCATCGACCAGGTGGTCCTAACAAGAGCTGTCGTGTTAGTGATGTGGGGGTCTCCTCCGGGCGGGGCTGACGGTCCAGAGAGGGGGCTCCTGGATGTGATGCCTGAGGTGGACTGTCCTCCTACAACCACGGGGCCAGAGTCTCACGCTGAGGAGGGAGGAGGAAAAGATGCTGGGCAGCCTCTTTGAGTGCCCGGGAGCCGCCGTACCAGCTCTAGACAGACAACCCTGACGTGCGGGGAAAACGAAGCCTGCCTGGGCATCTGCTGCCGGCTGAGCACCCCTCGGAGATGAGGCTTCTTCCCGCCTCTCACTCTGCAGCTTCTCAGACTCATGATGTGCTCTTGTCATGGGCTCAGCTGCTTCCTCCCAAGGAAAGGTCTTTGTAGCTGCCCTGCAACACTTCGTCTTGTGAGCCAGAATTTGGTCACATGGTCACACTTGGATGTCAGGGAGGCTACAAAACAGAC